AATACCTGCGTCAACAAAATAAAGCTTGGCCATTTTAAAAGTCTCAATCATTTTTTCAAAGGGCATCAACAAACAAATACAGGTTTATTGTTCTTAATTTCATTTTTTTAAAAAAAAAAAAAAAAAATATAATAAATTTAAAAAAAATGTTTTTCCCCCCCCCCCCCCTTCTCTTAATTTAATTTAATTTGATTTAATCTATTTTCACTGCATACAGTAATGAATCAAACACAAGACAGCAGTGGGAAAGAACTAGTAGGGAACAGAAGAACCATACCATGTTCAAGCTAGTCCACCCAATTTTAAATAACAGGAAAAATTAAAACTCAATTTTTGAAAAAGCTTAAGAACACAGGATTCATCCCAGACGGGTGGTGGTGGGGGGTACTCCTGGGAATTCTTGGTGGGGGTTTGCCGCCTGGTTATCCAAATCATGACCCTATTTCAGTCCCAAAAATGTAAACTTTTCACACCTGTTTTCAGACCTGGCCTCTATTAACTCCATACAAGTTTCAGACCTGGTCTCTACGAAATTATGTCGTCATTACTTAGTAATACATGCAAATTAAAATGCCAACAAAATAGATTTCTTGAAACCAATTTTGAATTTGCATATTTCTCTTTCTTTCTTATTCATTTGAAATTTAAACGATATCATGATGATACATATGTTGCAGTTAATTTTTTATTTCAGTTAATTTTTGTTTTTCCATTGTTTATGGGTATGGTAATGTATGCTAATGAATTTGAAACAAAGGAAAAACAAAAATTAACTGAAATAAAAAATAAACTGCAACACATACACTCTTGTAGTTCCCTCGTAGTTCAACTAAATCAAGGAACAGTGCAAGGAGGGAGAAGAAGGAGCTGACAAAAGAAGCATTGGGAGAATAATGTCTCTGAGTGGACAGGGTTGAAGTTTTGCAAAACCCTAAGACAAGCTGAAAACAAAATCAAATGGATGGAGAGGGTTGCTATGTCCATGGCGCCCCAATGGTCACCATGACTACGGCATAGGTGTAGGTGCAGTTCCCTCGAAAACCATACCCGATTCCAGAACAAAAGGGGCAAAGTCTATGCTCGTTATCAGACCAAAAGGGTGCAAAAACCCTACCCTTTAAACTGGCACATGTCCATTGGCTTATATAAGGGAGTACCCCTTCCCCCCGGGGGGAATCATGTCATAAGGAGTTGATAGGACTGTTGATGACACTGACTGATATTGGGACAACCTGTGCAAAAGTCAGTCATTGTCACTCAAAGCCACTTCTGATTTGTCAGCAGATGGTATTTAACTCTGCTCATTCAGAGTTTAATACCACTGACATAACACCTGCACAGGTTGTCAAAATGTTAACTCACTGTCATCAACAGTCCCGCTCAGGTCTACACTAACCCAGACAATGACATCTTACTCTCTTAGAAGTTTCAAAGAAGTAGCATAAGTGTACAAAAGAGAAAAATGGCGAGGGATTTTCTTTGGAGAGTTGACCTCCATTGAAAGCCCTGCCAAAGTACAAAAAGACAAAACTCACCTTGTGTATACGTTGGGAGAAGCTGCAAGGTGTGAAGAGTTGCTGCATCATTGCCATCATTGCTTAGCTGCTCAGCTCTGAAGCGTCGATACAGCATGGTAACTCCTTTCACCTTTAACATGGGTCTATCCACAGCAATACCAATACCAAAGAGTCCACCAAATACCACAGTCACAGGGTGCCCAGGTACATCTGAAACTGGCCCCAGTACTTCTTTACATTCTGGTAAGCAGTCTTTAAAAACCTTTTCCTTTCTTATGGTTNATTCCAGAACAAAAGGGGCAAAGTCTATGCTCGTTATCAGACCAAAAGGGTGCAAAAACCCTACCCTTTAAACTGGCACATGTCCATTGGCTTATATAAGGGAGTACCCCTTCCCCCCGGGGGGAATCATGTCATAAGGAGTTGATAGGACTGTTGATGACACTGACTGATATTGGGACAACCTGTGCAAAAGTCAGTCATTGTCACTCAAAGCCACTTCTGATTTGTCAGCAGATGGTATTTGACTCTGCTCATTCAGAGTTTAATACCACTGACATAACACCTGCACAGGTTGTCAAAATGTTAACTCACTGTCATCAACAGTCCCGCTCAGGTCTACACTAACCCAGACAATGACATCTTACTCTCTTAGAAGTTTCAAAGAAGTAGCATAAGTGTACAAAAGAGAAAAATGGCGAGGGATTTTCTTTGGAGAGTTGACCTCCATTGAAAGCCCTGCCAAAGTACAAAAAGACAAAACTCACCTTGTGTATACGTTGGGAGAAGCTGCAAGGTGTGAAGAGTTGCTGCATCATTGCCATCATTGCTTAGCTGCTCAGCTCTGAAGCGTCGATACAGCATGGTAACTCCTTTCACCTTTAACATGGGTCTATCCACAGCAATACCAATACCAAAGAGTCCACCAAATACCACAGTCACAGGGTGCCCAGGTACATCTGAAACTGGCCCCAGTACTTCTTTACATTCTGGTAAGCAGTCTTTAAAAACCTTTTCCTTTCTTATGGTTGGAAACATAAAATCCTGATCTGGTGACTTCACAGAGGGTTGTTTAGATGAAAGGAATAATAGTGAACAATCATCAAATGACCACAATGTACAGTTGTCATCATTTGCTTGATTATAGTCCTGGGTTTGATCTACATGTCCAGATGTTGTTGCCCTGTCAACAAGGAAATAGTTCCATCCATAAATTATAATGATCTATAGTCAATTCCCTCTTACTGGCAGGCCGCTAAAAGAACACCTCCTCAAAATAGACTCCTGCTGGTTTGATCCCTATCATTTTCCAGTTTTCCCAGTCAAAGCATTATGATCCATTAGGACTGTAGCCTCTAGTAGTAAACAACCTCTTATAATCAACTACCATTTTTGACACTTTTAGTGGTGACTTACTGGAGGTTCAAATTTACATGTAAATTAAAAGGTTGTAGGAGGTGTAGCATGCAAGACTTACGTGCAGGGTTTTTTAGTGCTACCTCTTCATCGAGAGGGTGGGGTGGGAGAGAGAATTTTTATTTCATGGCTCAAACAACTAGTCACCTGATCTCAAGATAGGCAGCTTGTTGAAAGCAAAAGTGTGTGTCAAGGTGGGGAGGGGAGCAGGAAGGTGACAGACTGCTGTTTTAAGGCATACCTATTTTGCAAAGTTGCACTGTGGCTGGACAGCTTTCCTCTTCCACTTGGGGGCATGGACTCTCGCTCCAACATGAAAACCAACTTGAGGACTTGCACATCTAAATTTGATCTTAGGGCTAAATATGAATCGCTCAATGCCAGGCCTTTTATAGACATACTTGGCTCAATGTCTAAGAAGTGTTCTAGGTCACATGATAATGTACCAGTATTTGATCCTTCAGATTGCGGATATCTGTTCCACCTAAACAAGCTGACTCTGGTCTCACCAGCAATAGCAACATTACCGCTTGTAGGACAACAACAAATATCACTAACATTAAATTGAGTTGGAATTTCTAGGGCAAGAAATGCCTTTGCAGCTTCCTCAGCCTCCTGGCTTTGCTTTAGAGAATGCCCTGCCACATACGTGCGTACGGGTTCCTCTAGATTAGCTTTGAACCAGTTGAAGTACGCTCGGGAATGAGTCGACGCACTTCGACGTGATCTTCGTCTCTCCGTTTTCCTTTCGATAGTCACAACGCATTTTGCTCTCTCGTTGCAGATCAAATTTACAGGTTTGGAAATGGTAGGAAACTGGCAAAACAGAGGGAAATTAGGCAGCTCGAGCGAGTAAACCAACACTTTCATTTCTCCAGTTGCAAGAAACAGATAGTCTTTCGTTGAAGTGATGGATGTTGGTTGGAAGGAATCGAAGAAAACTCTTTGAGATTTAAAGTAGTGAAACAAAAGAACTCGCACCATTTTGATAAGGTGGAAGAACAATCAGAATTGAACAATCTAACTTCTCAACTTTGTAACGCGAGTACAATTTCCTGTCAAAAAATCCGCCATCTTTGCAACGAAATAATCGAGAGGAAACTGGAACTAGTTTCATAGCACGGGTCGGGTGGGTGAGGAGAGGGATGATGAATTCCTCGCAAAATGTTGCAAATTTTTATCATTATTTTCTTGATGTACTTGTAAATTTCCATAAAATAAAACATTTTTACTTCATTTTAATATAAAGTTGTCTTTGCAGAATTTTTGCGCTAAAATGTAGTTTAGTCTACTGGTCCTTGCCTTTCCCTCCCGTCCCTAAATTTTTTTTCTCAACGCGTGTGACATTCACGAGATCTCTCGGCACAAGGGAGAGAAGGTACAGCTGTTTTCGGTGAGCAGGTTTCCATTTTTTCTGCAAAACCACATGTGTAAAGACACGTTTTTCTCTCAGACATTCTATTTATATTTAGTTGACTACAAGTAGCTATTTAATAGCTTTCATTATTATAATTAAGCGTAACAACCTCAATTCTCGATGCAATTTTTGAAAAAGATATTTGATAAGGTCAGAACTTAAACAATGTCAAAAACGTCGGTAGACCATTTTGCAGTTTTGGGCTTGTCCCTGTCTTCGAGTGAATGTGAGGCTGAGGTTGACCTTGTTTTGATTCAAACCTCATTTGTATTCTTATGGAAAAAATATTTATGCATGAAAAATACTAGTTAGCATAAGATCAACATCATTCACATCGGAAGGCAGGATTGGTTGTATCAAGACAAGGTCAACTTCAGCTTCGTTTCCATCTATAACTGTAAAATAGGCTATTAGTGTTATTAACTTACTGCAAGGATAGGGAAGGAATGTTAGAATAGGTACGTGTAGCTGGGGTGGAGCGAGGGCAGCGTCAATCAAAGGCTCAGTTTTTTAGTTGTGTAAATGTGATTGATAAAGCATTCACTGCGACAGGTTATTGGCAGAGAGAAGATATAACACCAGGGGCAGATCTGGGTTTTTTTAATGGGGGGGCAGATGATTCCAATTGGCCACCAAACTACACATTAATTATTTATTTTAAGTTGTCCCACGTTTGTCCCGAAACATGGCGATTTAGGAAGGACGAAGGCTGTTTGGCTTGTTTTTGCAACCCACATTTTTCTATATTTTCTTGGGATCCGGGTATTTCAGTTTGGTTTTCCACGTTTTATATTTTTTTGGTGTGCTGCTCTACCACCCAATCCACTCTCCCTGGATCCGCCCCTGAACACTTTCCAATTCCTATCTTCTCTTNTATTAGTGTTATTAACTTACTGCAAGGATAGGGAAGGAATGTTAGAATAGGTACGTGTAGCTGGGGTGGAGCGAGGGCAGCGTCAATCAAAGGCTCAGTTTTTTAGTTGTGTAAATGTGATTGATAAAGCATTCACTGCGACAGGTTATTGGCAGAGAGAAGATATAACACCAGGGGCAGATCTGGGTTTTTTTAATGGGGGGGCAGATGATTCCAATTGGCCACCAAACTACACATTAATTATTTATTTTAAGTTGTCCCACGTTTGTCCCGAAACATGGCGATTTAGGAAGGACGAAGGCTGTTTGGCTTGTTTTTGCAACCCACATTTTTCTATATTTTCTTGGGATCCGGGTATTTCAGTTTGGTTTTCCACGTTTTATATTTTTTTGGTGTGCTGCTCTACCACCCAATCCACTCTCCCTGGATCCGCCCCTGAACACTTTCCAATTCCTATCTTCTCTTGCCCCATGAGATGACTAAGGACTGGAGACAGCTTAAGGAGTACCCATACCACTCCACACCCCCCTGCGTTGGGAAAATATTGCCTCAAGCCTGACTTATCCCCAGTTGTCTCTCATTATTAGCATTAGGTGTGGAAGACTAGAACAGGCTCTTTAACGAAGGAGATGACGGAAAGAGATGACATCTCTCTTCCTCTCGCCTTCCCATCTTCACTGCGCGCATAACCCAAGGGCTTCCCTAGTAACAACTTGGAGACGACTGGAGATGAGTCAGGCCTCAAGCCTCTTTCTCAAAATGAGGGTACCAGTGGAAAGTGTTTGATATGAAAGAAACTGAAAGAAACACAGTAGCTGATTGTTTATATCTCTTTATTTTCTCTTGAGAAGGACCATGCACAGAGTGTATTTTTATGGATAATTTGGATTAGTCAATTTTGGAGAGGATCACAGACTGTGCTTGCAGATGACATCTGAAGATGCAGGATTCTTAGTCCTGCAGAGTCTAAGTCGCCCAGCAGTTAAAGGTTTTGCTGAGTTTTGCAGCAGTTCTTTAATTGCACATAGAAATAAAGAGTTAAGTGAAGGCCTCAAAGTTTCCTGCACAAAGCTACAGTACACATATCCAGTAAGAATTTCTAAGAACTAATAAAAATTAGATTTAGAGGTAGCAGATCCACAAATAATCTTATCATCCTGACCACAAATTTTGCCCAATTGTGTCTTTGGCATTCAGCATCTTGTGTATATTTTAAATCTCAAATCTCTGCACCTCCAATTTGCTTTAAAATTCCAAATCATGGCTTTCAAATAAGGTGAATCCTAAATCCCAATAAACCTATTGTGGACATTCACTCTCTAACCTTCTTGCACCAGCCACTATTTGAAGCTATAGGAAGCTACTACATGTGTCTAGACAAGAAGAAGCATATCTGCAAAACTATGATAATTTGTAGCAATTTAACTTGCTTTCAGAGTTATCAAAAGGAAACAGATTATAGGACAAATGTTGCTTGGCTTGTATTAGAGCGGTTTTCACTTGACTGTCGAAAGTAATTGAGGAATTGGTTTGGTTTTGGTTTTACTACGCCCTTTGGTTGGCTAGTGTATTTACTTTGGTTTTGGTTTTACGACAGTCAAGTGAAAACCGCGCTAATATCTAACCTTCTAACCCTTCATCATCATTGTTCATGTATGGTTACATTCACTGCCATATGTGTGTTGCTTCCTTTACTCTGTACATATTATGTTTTCTTATAACTGGTGCTCATATTTTGCTATTTAAGTTTTTTGTTTTTTATTGCACCTTTCTTAACAGTTAAAGTTGCTCATTGCAAGCCGTGCATCATCGGTACCAAGCTGTCAGTGGTTGTACATCATAACATTTGGTGGTGGACTTGTTGAGGGAGACAATGTCTGTGTTGATGTCAAAGTTGGAGAGTTATCTACGGTAGTTGTTACCACACAAGCTTCAACAAAGGTATGTTACACTGTGATCAAGCTATTGTATACCACATTTCCTCGAAGAAACTAAGCACTTATTTTAAAATTCCTACTATTTTTTAAGAATTTTTGCTCATTGAAGGGGTTACTTATTCAAAGGGTGCTTAATCTATGGACAGTAAGAGGGAATGCTTGACGGGATATTTTTTATCCATTTATTATCAGTGAATGGTTTGAACCAAGGAGTCATTTCATAAGGTCATCCCATTTTTTTTGTTTAGCATCGAATGCATTTCCTGATATTGGGTTGGTTGGTTGGATTGAAAAAAAAAAACTAAAAAAAAA